GCAGTAGGACATCCTTCGAGGGGTCCCAGATTGGAGAGGGTGCAGGCCGGGCTGAGGAACACCCCCTCCCCCATGCACGAATTTCATGCACCGGGCCACTAGTTAGGAGATAAAATGCTTTTTCCCAGAAGGTGTATTCAAAAATCAGTTTTAACACATTGTATGTGGGCCGTTTTTGCTAATTTTTTGCGCAAACAGCAACGTTCAGTAAAATTACGATAACTTTAGTTTTACATATTTTTTTTTCAATGAAACTTTTTGTGATTTACTATAAAATGTATACTGAATTATTTTTCTTAAATTTTAAACAAATACTGGAAAACTCACTGGAAATTGTGTTTACCAGTCAACGTAAAACGTATAAATACGCCAAAACCGGTTTGGCTCAATGGATAGAGCGTCAGCCTGCAGACTGAAAGGTCCCAGGTTCGATTCCGGTCAAGGGCATGTACCTGGGTTGCGGGCACATCCCCAGTGGGAGATGTGCAGGAGGCGGCTGATCGATGTTTCTCTCTCATCGATGTTTCTAACTCTCTATCTCTCTCCCTTCCTCTCTGTAAAAAATCAATAAAATATATTTAAAAAACAAAACAAAACAAACAAAAAAACGTATAAATACATTTCCCACATCCAATGTGTTAAGTGTCTAAGGAAAAAGAACTGAGATTCTAAGGAGCTTCAAAAATTTTAAATCATTTTATTTTATACTAGAATGAGCTAAATATGTTCCTACTTTAATATTCCTACATTAAGAACTTATAAATCCATATTTATCTTTACTTGCTACTATATAACAAGTATTACTAGGTGTTGGATTTCAGAAGAAAAATTGACCCAATCATAGAGCTTTCATCTTTTCAGATGGGTGTTTTAATTCCTAATAAACATATACAGTTAGTTCTAAATTAGTTATCACAAGGGTCATTAGTTATCCTGGGTTACTAACTATTAACTATGTTATATTCTTACAAATTCAGACAGAAAAGACAAGTGCTAACTCTAACAACTGCATGGCAACACTGATGTAATTGTCTAAAGAAATAATAGCTCAATCCTTTGAATTAAATCAGATGTAATTGCTGGGTCAAATAGCAAGGTTGGGGAGGAGAAAGACTTTCTTACCTACCCCTACAAGTTTTAGCTATTCTTTTCTTATTTTGTTGTTGCTTTTATTAAATATTGGGTAGATATAAGAGCATTTCTGCTTATATGTATCTATAATAATAAAAGCATAATATGCAAATCGACCCAACAGCCGAACAGCAGAACGACTGTCCTTCCAGACTACCTTCCAGACAAAGCCGGGGATGCGAGGGCCAAGGCAGCCAGGGCTGTGAAGGCCTACTCTTGCAGGCCTCTAGTAACATATAAAGAACAGTATGACCACCATGCAGTTTAAAACATAAAAGACTACCTTTTATTTTGAAGCCCTTCCACACATCCTCCCCAATCCTTTCTATCTACTCCTCACTGATAACTATTCTGAATTTTACATTTATCTTTCCCTTGCTTCTCATTATGATGTGTGTGTGTGTGTATTTTGGAAGTATACCATCTATACATAAATGTACACAACTCATAAATGTACAGTTTTTTGTTTGTTTTTTAATTATATTTTTATTGACTTCAGAAAGGAAAGGAGAGGGAGAGAGAGATAGAAACATCAATGATGAGAGAGAATCATTGATTGGCTGCCTCCTACACACCCCACACCAGGGACCAATCCCACAACCTGGGCATGTGTCTTGACTGGGAATCGAACCGTGACTTCCTGGTTCATAGGTCGATGCTCAACCACTGAGACACGCCAGCCAGACATAAGTGAACAGTTTAATGAAAGTTCACAAACTCATAAAATGCATGTAATTGATAATTAAATCAAGAAGTGGAGTATCAGTCCTCTAGAAATTTCTTTCATGCCTCCTCCCAGACATCCCAGGCAAAAAAACCACTACCCTTGATTTTAAACACCATCTGAATGATTATCTTTCCAAGTTTACATCCCCAAACAGATTTTGTTTAGTTTTATTAGATAAATGACAAATTTCCCCATGTTTTTACTAACTGACATTCCTGCCAGCATTGTGAGTTATGGCTGCTACATATTCTGCCTAAACACATTGACAGTTTTTAACACTAAGTTTTTCCCACAGTCTGGTAAGTGGCAAAAGGTACCTCATAGTGGTTTTAATTTTTATTTATTACTAATGTGGTTTAGCATTTTTTCATGTTTATGGTCATTTGTGTGTTTCCTATTGTGGAAATCTTTCAACCAGATTTTATCTGCTGCAAATATTCAAATACTACAAGTGATACATTAATATGAGCCATTCCTATTATAGGAAACACTAGTAGTTTTATAGAAAAATGTGAAATACCACTCTCAAAATCATTTTTACTATGCAGAAAGCCTTATTACCTGCTCCTTAATGTCCTGCAACTGCTGCTGCAATTTCTGCACATCTGCGTTGACATTTGTATTATCTTTGTCCTTCTGTAACACTGGGATATTTCCACTTGCTATAATAGAGATAAAAAAAATCTAATGTTATGACTGTTTTGACACAATAATGATATTTTATTTCTAAAATTATTACTGTTTTATTAAAAAACACAAGACTATGCCCTAACTGGTTTGGCTCAGTGGATAGAGCGTCGGCCTGCGGACTGAAGGGTCCCAGGTTCAATTCCGGTCAAGGGCATGTACCTTGGTTGCAGGCACATCCCCAGTAGGGGGTGTGCAGGAGGCAGCTGATCGATGTTTCTCTCTCATCGATGTTTCTAACTCTCTATCCCTCTCCCTTCCTCTCTGTAAAAAAATCAATAAAATATATTTTAAAAAACAAAACAAAACAAAAAAAACAAGACTATTATTAGAATCCTCTTTAAATATTGTTTTTACATGTGGACAAAAGATCAGCAGTAATATTCATGTTATACTCCCTCACTTACAATTTTCAAAAAGAAATAGGTTTACACATTAATTTCAGATTTTATTTAACACAGCTAACCCAGACTTTTGGGTTTTTCAAGGCTCTACTTGCTTCCTTTAACAAGTTCACAAGTACATTTTATACTTACTTTCCCTGTTCCTGCCCGTATCAACCCAAGAAGACAAAACCCAAGAAGACAAGCAATTATTTTAGACAATTCTGGCAGCAAGCCACCTTTCCTTTATTCCCAACTCTACTTGTTGTTAGTGATCTGAGATGAGGAACTCCATGAAAGAAAGGCCATGATCAGTGGCCTACTAAATGGAGGGACATTTTTTATTTCACTTTTCCTGCTCTCTAGATTCTTGGTCTTTTACTCTAGTTAATCTATTCCTGAGATTATATTCTGCTCTACTGGTGATAAAGACAAAAGCCCTGGTACACTAATGTTTTCCTCATCTGTACACAGACCAAAGAAATCAAAGACACCAGCCAGCTTATAGTAGTGCAAAGATGAAAAACATTTTTACATAGACATACTATTGAAAAGGTTAAAGGTAAATAATTTACTTTTCATCTTTCCACTTGTTCACTAAAATATTCTTCAGTTTATCTACAGTTACTCTGTCCAAATTATTATTATTCCATAAAATACTCAAATACTCTAGGTAAACCTGCTAGATATAGGAATGAGGTTAATACTTTAGTACACTAAAAAAAAAATAATTTGTAATATGATGATCCCCCAAGATACACTAAACTTCATCTTTAAAATAGCAAATTTTCTTTAAGCAAGCATAAAATAATAATCTTTATATTACAGATGAAGGTGTCTTAAAAGACTAATGTTTAAAGTTCTACAATCATATCGCAAGCTAGAAAATTTTCAGGTTTCTAGTAATGTAACAAGAGCAAAACCCTACCTGTTCCTCTGTAAATTTGAGTCATATACTTTATGTTTTACAAGACCACAGTGTTCTATACATGAGAAGATATGTTCAGGGAAGTCCCAACAAGACGGATAATGCATAAGAAATCCACTTACAGATATCATCAGTGGTATCTTCTGAACTTTTACCTCCACAACACATAATAAAAGGCACTCTTCGCTCAACCACTGCCCGACACTGCACACACTTTTTCATCAGGTTAGCACAGTCTGGAAAATAACAACAGGACACTTCTTACAAAAAGAGAAGATGAATAAGAAGAGGGTTGCCTTTCTCTGCTCATTCTTATAATTTTAACACTGAGATAAAACACATCCTGCAGGCCAAACCCAACCAGTAGACTATTTTTGTAAATAAAGTTTTAATGGAAAATAGTCCAACCCTTTCATCAACATAGTCTATGGCTGCTTTGGCACTAAAATGGCAGAGTTGGTAGTTGAAAACAGAAACTACACAGCCTACAAATCAAAAATACGTATCATTTAACCTTTTGCAGAAAAAAATTTGCTAACTTCTGCACTATGAAAACTTAAATAGCTTGAGCTCTTATAACTTAAAACAGAATTAATTATCTTTCTACATGCACTCTGACCACTGATCATAGGCATTATACCAGTCTTTGGTAAACAGAAACAATTACTTGTAGCAGAATGCTACAGTAGAAAACCTTAATCCAGTGGTCCTCAACCTTGGCTGCACATTAGAATCACCAGGGAATCTTTTGAAAATCCCGATTTCTGGGCCTCATCCTCCGGAAATTCTGTTTCTTTGTTACTAATGTTGTGGCCCCACCCCATAACAAAGAAACAGAATTTCCGGAGGATGAGGCCCAGAAATCGGGATTTTCAAAGGCCCAGAAACAAGATTTTAAAAAGATTCCCAGGTGATTCTAATGTGCAGCCAAGGTTGAGAACCACTGCCTTAATCCTTTCTTTAGTTGAACTGCCTATCAGAATGAAAAAGCAAATGTAGGTTACTGAGATTTATCTACCATGCAATTTGCATATTATATTAGAAATATTAAAAATCAATACCTACTGAGTGAACTATTTTATAATAGGAGTTGAAAGGGCGAGGGCTAGGCCCTCCATCTTGCCCCAGGGTAAGTGCTCCATCTTACCTTGGCCATGTGCTTGGCAAGGAGCTTCTTCCCGGAAGTCTAAGCCTCTGCTAGCCACACCCAGGAACAAGACACTGACTTGCGCCTGGCCAATC